ATTGACTAAAACAATGCATTCTTTGCAGAGCTTTGTATCGCAACTCAGATATCGTACTAATGGACGACCCGTTGAGTGCTGTCGACACCTCTGTTGCCGAACATATATTTGATAAGTAATGCCATTAATAGTCATATGTTATGAGACACACCTACCAGTCCTCTAACCTGCCTTTCCATCAGATGTATAGTGGAGTACTTGTCGGACAAAATCCGAATTCTAGTCACACATCAAATCCAATTCATACGAAAAGCCACACAAATACTGGTCTTAAGCTCAGAGGGCCGGTGCCTGGGGTTGGGCTCATACGACGAGCTCCAGTCCCAGGGAATCGATTTCATGGCTATACTGAAAGATGTAGAACGGGAGGCCGAACACGACAAACAGACCCCAACCCCTAATGAGGCACTCCTGACGGAGTCGATCAACGACAGGGTCCGGAGGCACTCCCGGAGCACATCTGTGGCTCAGACCGAGAACTTCGAAGTCTCCGACATTATGGGCGATGAGAAGGACTACTCGCATGAGCCCAGGATTCAGGAGGAGAACCGGGAGGTGGGCTCTATCGGGGGCACGTCTACTATGAATACTTTAAAGCCGGTGCCGGACCCATACTGTTCACGATTACCCTGTTCTCGACATTGATATCTCACGGTATATTGCATTACTCCGATATATGGCTAACTAAATGGTAAGGGAGTTTAAGCTTGTAAATTTGTAGTATTTTATATTAGGTCAATATTAAATGAAAGCTATATTGTATATCCTTCATGATAAATATACTGTACTAGGTCAATGTGATTTATATTTTATATAAAGAATTCGATATTCTCATTATACTATACTGTACTATAATATATTGTATTTATGCAATAATTAATAATATTTAGAAAACGCTACAATTTGTAGATTGCATACAAGGGTGTTCAAAAAAATAGTATAGGGTGTTCAAATGCCAAGCCTCCCAAATGGGTTCCATGTTTAGTAACAACGGTGTAATATAAATAACATTGTTTACCAAACTATAAATTATAGTTGATCCAGGGAAGTTTATTTAAGTTAATTTAGTTTTTAAACACTATTGATCTAATATTACAAATATACTGAATCTATAAAATTGTAAATTATTGTTTGCATTCAGGACTGACAAAAATCAAATGGCTAGTGTAATTGACCATGATACACGAAATTATTACGTCTACATCTATTCGGGACTCATTGGGGCCCTGTTTGTGACGGCGCTAATGCGGTCGACCACGTGGTTCATGATGTGTATGCGAGCGTCCGTTAATCTACACAACAGTATATTCTCGCGTCTATTACGGGCGCCGATAGCCGTGTTCGACAACAACCCCATCGGTAAGCATAACAATAATTTATAGTCTGTTTGTAAAGTTTGTGAAATTATATCACTTTTTAAAATCATTAAGATAGTAATTTTGTTAGCAAATAAATAAGTATGGTAAAACAGGCACCTACAAACTTAATATTTACTCAAACCTATAACATTTAATTAATCAAAATGTCCTGGATCACTATGATAATTACATTACACCTTATAAATTATTAGTATTATATCCATATAATTATAGGTCAAATGCTAAACCGATTCTCGAAAGACATGGGGATTGTCGACGAAATGCTTCCCACCACTGGTTTTGACTTCAATTTTGTAAATAAATTTAAATTAAATTAAATTTTTAATTAAAATAACTTATTATTATTAATAAGTTTTATGAGTTTGTGTAGGAATTGAATATATTTTTGTCTCAATGCAGTCGTTATTTGAAACAATTGGTATTATAATAACGTAATAAGTTTTATGAGTTTGTGTAGGAATTGAATATATTTTTGTCTCAATGCAGTCGTTATTTGAAACGATTGGTATTATAATAACGGTGGCCACTGTCAATGTTTATCTAATCATCCCGGGTATTTTATTAATTATACTTATGGTGATTGTGAGGCATATACATGAAATCTGCCAGGGATATCAAACGTTTTGAGGGGATAAGTATGTGCTCATAGGGTAGTGATTATAATGTGGTTATAATTGTTTTAATTATTATTTTATAGCGAGAAGTCCAGTGTTTACTCACGTGAGCACAACCCTCAATGGGTTGGACAGTGTGCGGGCCTATGGGGCGCAGGAGGCCTTTGAGCATCAGTACTATATCTACCAAAATGACCATACTGCCACCTGGTTCCTATTTGTCTGTGCATCCCGAACCCTGAGTCTCATTACGGACTGGATATGTGTGGCATATTTAGTGGCCATAGCCGTCGTGATGATGGTATTCCCCGAACAGATTGGGAACGGCGGTAGTGCCGGACTGGCCCTCTCGACAGGTGTGCTATTAATATACATACACATACACATACATACATACACATACATTAATATACATACGAAATGAGTTTAGTATTCAAATGTAAGACAAATGCTTACAATAAGTGTATATATTGTTAGCCCTAATGATGGGAGAGACTCAATGGGGAGTCAAACAGTCGACTGAATTTGAAAGTCAGATGACTTCAGTCGAGCGTATCATTGAATACCAGAGACTACCACAGGAGGCGCCGTTAGACTCGGATGACACACACCGACCACCACCTGACTGGCCATCGAAGGGTGCG